AAGCCACTTAAATAGGCTACGGATCTGTTACACTAATGCCCGAAGCTTGCTTAATAAGCGATCGGAACTAGGTGAACAGATTGACTCTACAAAGCCAGACATAATCACAGTCACAGAAACCTGGCTGACACAGTCTATAGATAGTATGAAACTCGATTTTGAGGATTTTACTTTAGTAAGGACCGACAGAATACATAAGCGTAAAGGAGGGGGAGTAGCTCTATTCATTAGGAATGCTATCCCGTTTGTCATTATTGATAGTGTATCCCATGAAAGTGGGATGTGTGAATTGGTTAGTTGCCACTTGAAATTCAAGGGGCAAGAGCTGCTGATTGGTTTGGTCTATCGCAGTCCAAGCTGTGAGGTAAATGATGTGCTGCTAAACAGGCTCAAAAATTGGTCGCGAAGTGGTCGATGTCTAATCCTAGGGGACTTTAATGCACCTATGGTAGACTGGAGAAATCTGCGTACTGAATCGTCAGATAATTCTTTCGAGCAGGAACTAGTTGATGCGGTTATAACATGTGCCCTAGTGCAACATGTGAAAGAAGCGACTAGGTACGACACGGGCACTGAATCATCCTTACTAGATCTTATATTAACTCACTATGAGGATGACGTTGCGAATCTCCTTTACATGCCACCCCTAGGTAAAAGTGACCACGCAGTTTTAACTTTTGACTTCCATATAACTGTCAATCACGAGCACGCGTCAACTCAACCCAGACCTAACGTCTGGAAAACAAACATACCAGATATCATGCACTAATCATCATTGGTAGATTGGACAATAGACCCAGAGTCCTCAATTGAAACGGCTTGGGACGCATTCCGAAATTCATACTTAAAAGTTACCGCACTCCACATCCCTTGGACTATACCGAGGGGGGCCGAGAAACTCCCCACCATGGTTCAGTAGGGAGGTCCGCATCCTTCTCCGTAAGAGAAAAATGTGGGATAGATTTAGGTTACTGGGGACTGATGAGACAAAATCTCAGTATCGAAAAGCCAGGAATACCTGTGCCTTGACCCTTTGCAAGTCTAAAAAGCTGTACGAACAAAAAATTGTTAAGGAATCCATAGAATGTCCTAAACGCTTGTATTCCTATATAAACCAAAGGACAAAAAGAAGAGGAAATATTCCTGCACTATGGGGAGACAGTACTGAAGCATCATTAGTGAAAGATGACTTTGGTAAGGCTCAAGTGTTCTCAAACTATTTTAGCAATGTATATACCATAAAAGCACCCTTCCCGTCAGCGCTTACTAACCCTCCCCCCACACATACACTGGATAGCGTGACCATTAAAGAACTCGGTGTCTTTGATCTGCTAAATAAGCTTGGCATAGGTAAATCCATGGGGCCCGATGAATTGCATCCTAGACTACTAAAGGAATTATCTAACTTCGTTGGGAACCCTTTAAGTATATGCTTTAAGCTATCCGTAGGGCAGGGTCGTTTACTAAAAGACTGGAAGAACGCCATAGTAAGTCCTGTCTTCAAAACAGGTACGAAACATAAACCTGAGAATTACCGACCCGTTAGCCTAACTAGTGTGGTTGTTAAAATCTTAGAAAAGATTATTCGGAAGGAGCTGTTTATGTACCTCGATGTAGACCGGATCCTTTCGGAGAAACAGCACGGTTTCAGAATAGGTTATTCTTGCCTCACTAACTTATTAGTCGCTCGTGTAAGCTGGTGCGCTCCTAAAGACCAAAAGTTACCTGTAGACGTAGCCTACATCGATTTCAGCAAAGCTTTTGACAAAGTTCCGCACGACCGGCTATTATATAAGCTAAAAAATGTCGGGATCGGAGGCAATCTATTGATGTGAATAGAAGACTTCCTAGTTGGGCGCCAACAAAGAGTACGGGTAAACTGAAAGTTATCTAGCTGGGAAACTGTGCTTAGTGGAGTGCCCCAGGGTACAGTTTTGGGGCCAGTGCTATTCCTCTTGTATGTAAATGACCTTCCTCGCTTACTATCATCTTCGGTCTTGCTATATGCTGACGATGTCAAGATATGGAGAACGATACGATGTAAGGGTGATAGCTTAGAACTCCAAAATGACCTGAAGAAACTATCCGAATGGTCTCATACCTGGCAGCTGCCGATAAATACTTCCAAGTGTGTTGTGATGCATACCGGTCATCAAGGTACAGATACATACACGATGAATAACACTGAGCTACCTGTTGCCCGGACACATAATGACTTGGGAGTCATCGTTAACCAAGATCTGAAGACTACTGCACACTGCCGTGCAATAGCCGCCAAAGCTTTTAGAACTTTATGGTCAATACGTAGGGCTTTTACTCATGTCGACGCTCAAACGTTTTTGACTTTGTATACAGTGTTCGTACGTCCTAAACTTGAGTACTGCATACAAGCGGCTAGCCTCTGCTTAAAAAAAGACAGTGAGCTTTTGGAAAAGGTCCAGAGAACGGCAACTAAACTGATTCCCTGAATAGCGAAGCTTCCGTATGATGCTCGACTGGCCAAGCTAAACTTATTCCCTTTGTCATGTAGAACTAGAGGCGACTTGATTACAGTTCTCAAATTGCTTAGTGATAAATTTGCACCTGATATGCCCTCATTTTTCTTGTCTTCCAAAACAGAGAATTTACGAGGGCACTCGAAAAAAGTTCACAAGCCCAGAACAAATTACTTGTCAGCTGATTATCGACTTTCCCACCGAATCATCAACGAGTGGAATTCATTACCTCAACACGTGGTTGAAGCTCCATCTGTAGATTCTTTCAAAAGAAAGTTGGATCAACTGAGAGAACACAATTGCCAGGACTAACACAGGCCATCAAGCCTCCTGTCCTTTCCAAACTGAAAAAGAAACTAATGCTATGTGCCTACCAACGATTACAATGAAGATGCTAAAGATCAATTCTACGATAGACTGCAGTCGACATGGACTGGAAGAAAGGAATGGAAATGGTGAGAGATTTGCAAACCCATGTGCCTTCAATAAACTGGTCATATGCGGAACCATATTCCCACATAAACGCATAAACAAAACCACATGGACTTCACCAGATCCCACCACACAGAACCAAATCGACCATTTCTGCATCAACAAAAAGTTCAAAAGGATGTGAGAACCACGAGAGGAGCTGATATAGCATCAGGTCATTACTTGCTGGTCGCCAAGATGAAATTGAAACTCAAGAAGCACTGGACAACGGGGCGGACAACATCACAAAAGTTTAATACAGCTTTTCTTCGGGATACTGACAAACTCAACAAATTCAAGATAGCCCTCAGCGATAAGTTTCAGGCCTTTCATGATCTACTCAATGGAGAAGGGACTACTATGGAGAACAACTGGAAAGAGATAAAAGAGGCAATAACTTCAACATGTCATGAGATTCTGGGTCACAAGAGGCACCATTACAAGGACTGGATCACTGTTAATACACTAAGTACGATTCAAGAAAGGAGGAACAAGAAGACAGCAATCAATACCAGTTGAACAAGCCAAGACAAAAGCTGAACACACGGAAGCAAACAAGCAAGTGAAGAAGAGCATCAGAACCGATAAACGTAAATATGTGGAAGATTTAGCAATGACGGCGAGAAAGGCTGCCAGAGAAGGAAACATGAGACGTTTGTATAATACAACAAAGAAGCTCACTGAAAATTATCGTAAACCAGAGGGACTAGTGAAATGCAAGGGAGGCAAAGCATTCACCAACATTGAAGAACAGCGAAACAGGTGGGTAGGACACTTTAAGGAACTCTTGAATCGACCAGCTTCACCGAACCCACCCAACATCGAAGTAGCACCCACGGACCTCCCAATCGATGTTGGCCCACCAACAATTTAAAAGATCAACAAGGCCATCAGAAAAATCAAGAGCAGCAAAGCAGCGGGACCACACAACATTTCAGCAGAGGCACTGAAATCAAACATAGCAGTAACCGCAAAGATACTCCATATTCTCTTCAGCAAGATTTGGGATGAAGAACAAGTACCAACAGATTGGAAACAAGGACACCTGATCAAGATATCAAAGAAAGACACGTTTACACTAAAACTTTGTATTTTCCAATTTTTTCGACCTTAATTCTTTGCTTAAACATGATTTGTTTTAAAAAGAAGAACAACAAGTAATACGAAGAAACTATCATATTACTCATGGAATAAAGACTGAAAAGAAGGACTTCTGGTAAAAATACCAATGAAAGGCGATCTCAGCAAGTGTCATAACTACAGGAGCATCACTCTTCTCTCAATACCAGGGTATTGTTAAACAGAATGAAGGACTCCGAAGATGCCCAATATCGGGACCAACAGGCTGGATTCCGTGCCGGTCGATCGTGTACAGACCAAATCGCAACTCTACAGATCATTGTGGAACAATCAATTGCATGGAATTCATCACTCTACATCAACTACATTGACTACGAGAAAGCATTTGACAGCGTGGATAGGCCAACAATATGGAAGCTTCTTCGACACTACGACGTGCCTGAGAAGTTAGTCAATAACATACGGAATTCCTATTTGTCACCTTTCTTTGCAATATGTGATTTGTAAAATATTCCAGTGAGTACAAAAATACATTGGTGACGTTTCGCTACTTTGTTTGAGTTGCTTCTTCAAAGAATCAAAAAAGAAACCGACTTGTATGCTAAACAAAGCATTAACAAAATATGCTGACTATTACTGGCAAAATGGGCTATTATTAATTGATCAATTTTCAGCTCAAAAAACAACGTAAAAATTAAGAAATGGTACAGGTAGAATCAGTTGTTGAATGACCAACCATAATAGCTCATAATGATGACCAATATATGTGTATCTGCACAGAAACAAAAAAAGCATATTTGATAGTCACATTATTACTACAGAAAATCCAACAACTGTTTAGTTCAAACAAAACAATGCTCGGTAGTCTTATAACAACGAAGAACTGAAACTGTTCAAATAAAATCCTGAAAACAAGAGCATATATATATATATATATATATATATATATATATATATATATATATATATATATATATTATATGATCATTTTTAGAAGACAAACGCCTCGGAATAACAACGACAGAAACAGGAACACATATATAACCACAATCAGTAAAGTAATAAAGTATTTTAGTTATAGAACAAATGTAATGAAACACAAAAATAGGATATGTTTGAGAGTGAAAACATAAATCAGTAGAAAAGATTAAAATCAATGAAAAAAGAAATGAAGGTAAGACACAAAAACACAAGTACACTTAGCAAACATCACAATTATAGCATTGTTTTATCGAGATGATCTTGATAACTATATCTCAGAGAAGACAATAGGCTATAACAATTTGAAGATACATAATGTAACTCTATGGAGAAAACAAGCAACAATCGATGGAGAAGTAAATAAACTAGAACGTGGACACATTTTCAGGGAGCGAGAGGATTTATGAGCAATAAAATTTGTTCAAATAAAAACAACAACAAAAAGAACGAAAATGATAATACAATGATTTTACAGTTTTAAGTTTCTGATGTCATACGAAGTAGTTCATTGATAACAACTTCTCGATTTCCATGATGTGTTGTTAAAAGTGAATGAATTGTATCATCTTCAACAGATGGGAAAATTTCATGTATTGATTGAACATCTTCAGTAGATATTGGTTTAGGTAATACTCTCATACCACCGATTTCACCTAATCTCGGTTGACAATCTAGAAAAAAAGTTTCAAATGTAAATAACTAATGAGGATAGTGTGATCTTATGTTAAAAGATATATAACTATTGATAATGGGTCCAAATAGTTATTGCAGCTACCATAACGATTAGATCTAAAGCGCTGTAATTACTGGTTGAAGACTAGCTTAATACCGTTTGTTGGATTGACTAAGTTATCAAAAAGAACATGTGAGAAAATTCTGTTGAATTTGCAAACAATCCTAAGAGATATGTATTTAATTACTTGTCAATATCCATACTTAATCTGCAGTTTCCATCTATGGGAACAAAATTCTGTGATATAAATCGTAAAATTAAAAAACGTTTGCACACATATTCTATCTGAAAACTTAATACGTCAGAAAGTCTTCAGCTAGTGCCCAACCAGGAATTTCAACACCTTAAATTAAATCTTCTAGAAAGTTGCAATTGATATATTTCTAGAAATACATTTTGTGGATTTTTATTTAAGGAGTAGACTGTTTGGTTCGGATATACGAGATAAACGTAATCTATGAGTGTAGATCTTAACTTAAATGGTATAAAATAGGTAACAGTGGGATATGTACATTTATTTCCTGTCCTACTCTAGATCATGAGTTTTTATGCTACTACCATTTATTTGTTGATTATTTTCGTAAAGCATATTCTTTATTGTGTGAAAATTATATTTGAAATAATCTCAGCGATTGAAATTTAAAATAATTCCAACGTTTCGTCCACAAGCATAAACCAGGGTACAGTCCTAACCAAAAACAAGGACTACACATCATGTGCACAGCAATTTAATGGTTATACATAGTCGTTCAAATCGTTGGAAGTGTAATCAATGTAAAGCAAATGATTGATAGTAGAACATGAAAACCACTGAACTATTGATCTATACGATGAGAAGAAACAGACAAACAAACGGAACTAAATCAATCAGACTTACATGATGGACTGGACTGTAGAACTGGAAGGTTTACTGGTACTTTCTACAAACAAAATAAAAAAATGAAATAAAGACACAGAACATAACAAACTCTATTTAAATAAAAATTGTTGATACAATAAGGTAAGACTGAGCAAGTCAATAAAGTATTAATTAGTAAGGTTTGAATTTTCCCGTTGTTAATATCCTGAACTAAACTAATCACTAATTAATACTGATATATAGAGCCCTTAAAGTCAACAATATTTCTCAATCGGTAGTCCACAGATAAGAATCTGGAAATATACACTAGCTTAGTTTTTCCGTATATATTAAAATGAATTGAGGGGCCTAAACGTGTACATAGTTGGACTTCTCATCTTTCGCTTGTACCAGAAGGATTTCCAATGTTCAGAAGAGAAAAGAAGGATATATTCACCTACTTTTACATTTTGATAAATATTAGTCAGCAGTACTTTTAAGTACATTAATTCAGTCGCTTATCTTATTCGAATTACTATTACATTGTGAGTGTAAACTCACTTTTAGACGTGTTACTTCCTATGGATTTTCCTTTACCTTTTCCTCGGGAACATATCGCAATAGGACAAAGGAATAATATTATCTGATGAAAGTTACTGTGCTACCAAACTCTAAACCTAAGGTTGGTGTTTTAATCACATAAAGCCTGCTTCCTATTACAAAACAAAACAAAATTAAAAAAGCTTGACAATTTATATTGAGTCACTATTATTTGGTGAAAATACATATAGACTTGAGATATATGCTGTGAACCACAAACCTGACACTTTTGATTGCTAACAGTACCACTCGGTTATTGATAAGAAATTAATGGAGAGTAAAAGAATCTGACCGGTTACCGAGGAAAAACTTGAATAATCATAAGATAATTAGGCTTTGCATTCATGAGTGAAGCGAATAACTGAGAATTGCGCGCAACAGTCGGCAATACGGGATGATTAGATTGAAAATATTTTGACGAGAGGTAGTCATGTTTGGTAAAAAACGATTTTCTAAGGAATCTATTCATACTGATTCAATCCAAAAAATAAAACTATTTAATTCAAGCAGAAACTGTCATGGTATTCAAGTAGACCAGTAATGGATAAAATTAGAGCAAGTATTTGGAGGATACACAGTCGAAGTTAAGAGTGAATAAGTTAAATGAAATCCAACTGTGAACCTTATTAAAGTCTACCTCAGAAATAGAAACGTTTAAGTGTACCGCTAATAAAATTAAACTTAAACAAAAGAAATGATTGTTGGGTATTAAGCAACTTTGAACTAATTAACCGGATTGTTGTGACTGGTTTTCAATAATTTATGTGACTCAGTAGTAAACAATATATCTCCCTAAAGCAAGAATTTTCAGCACATGTAAGATTGCCAATCAAATCATATCAATGTAAGCAGTTTTTTTCAGAAATCACAGTAGAATTTGACTTGATTTTCATCTGGTTCTGTTATGCTTATCTTAAATAGTGAATTCAGCAAACAATGATTCTAAGATGTTTAAGATTTAAATGAAGACCAATTTTAGCTACATTGTGTAAACTTTTCAAATATTTGTTTTTGATAGCTCAAAAACCTCGTCCAGGTAAATTACACTCATTCGCACAGCAATTGCTAACTTGATGATATCGGAACTCGTGAGTCACAACTTTATTAAGGTAAATTTTGCAAATCAATAAAAGTATATAGTCATTTGTGTAAGTGCTAGTTTACAATTGTGCTTGAGCAATAAGAAGATCAGAACAGTAGTGTGGATGAATCAATAAAGTTGTATTACAAAAAAAGAAAATGAAAAGCACATGCTGTTAATGAATATTCAATTGATATGCTATATTCATGTACACAAACATATATACATACAAATCGACCTTAAAAACTGCATTTTATGCATCATTAAATAGACAAGTCATATACATTATCGGTCTTTCATTTTCTTTATTTCTTCATAAACAAAACCATAAGTCAATATAGTGAATAGGCTAAAAATAACCAGAAGAAGGCCTCGTATTACTGGAAAACCAAAGTAAACAAATAACAAATATTCATGTACAAATAAGCTCAGTACCTAGGTTAATAAAGCTCATATTAGGAGATACTCACATGAATAACTAATAAACACAAGCAGATGATTATGGTGAAATGCTGTCTTTTAATCACCTTAAGGTGTTGAAATTTGATAAAGAGATGAATAAAAAGATGTCAGGATTACTGTTGATACTCGCCAAAAAGCTGTCAGTTTATAAGCAAATGAATGGAGAGCTCTAGACATTTTAGTATGTGAAACATGACAATATTACTAATAATACGAGTAATATTAAAAGGAATGCTATGTAAGCATACTGAGACACTTTTAGAAAAGTGAGCAAACTGAGGACCAATATGGGCTTCCGGTCTTTTGTCCGTAAAGCATATATGATTTTATTGATTTTCAATTGTTATGTTGTCGTGAATTGTGGCGACTTGATTAGATAAATGAGTGAACCAGATCTTGTATTATGTACATCAGTTCTAATCATTAGGCAAATTGATCGAATGAATGTATATGAATGAAGTATAAAACCACCCTCAGAATAGAAGGGGAAAGAGTGGAGGTCGATGGTCTGAAGATGAGGAGTGAACTAGAAGAAAAATTACCATGTTCGTATCAAGCTGATAATGAATTGTTTTTTGGATAAGTAAGCCAAGCTGAAGTTTCTTGCTAATTAGCGAGTCAGAGACATAAGTAATTGCCTATCGATGATTTTGAAAGCAGTTACATTGGAGAAGAAATGAATGACCCATAGTTCAAATTTTTTTGTGATGTGCATAATGAATTGAGTGCATGTACACACCTTATTTTTTCATATGCTTGTTTTGCAAGTATATATGAACTTGTAACAAAAGACAGATATAAGTCAGTTTATGGATAATAAAAAAGGAGGACGAAATTGGTAGTTGAATAGATTTTCACTAAGAAACCACTTAATTATTTTCTAATTACATGTTAGAATTCGGTTTCCTAATTTTAACGACTAAATAAATGACAATTATGTTGATTAGTGTAAATGAAAATTCAAGTTAATAATAAGTATATTTCGCTTACTCGACACCGAAAAATCAGATTAATTGAACCTTCTAAATCTTTTCCTTGCTTTCCACTGAGTGAAAACCACTGATTTAAAGCAACACCATCAAATATAGATGGAGGGAAAATTATCACAGCATTAGCTACTTGTGAATCGGAAAATAAGACATTTTCTGAAAACACTTCTACTGTTAATCTGTCAACATCACCATGTAACCAACTAAATTTAATAAAATAAAAATAAACGAATTATAGAGAAAATATAAACACAATTTAGTACATGAAAATACTTGTTATAAGAATATTATCTAATATCGATAGTTGAGATCATGAGTCCATTGAAGCTAGACCACCATGGAAAACCTGGAAGCACTGGACGGCCGTTCCGCCCTATTGTGGGACTGCTCAGCAGTGCGCATCCACGACCACGCCTCGCGAGACTCGAACCCAGGACCTATCAGTCTCGCGTGTGAACGCTTAACCACTAGACCAGTGAACCAGCATCAAACGGTGTTAATGTCTAACTTAAACTAATCCACGAAATTGAGTGACACATTCACCATTGTCATCAGTGAGTTACTATCTCACAACAGACATAATTATTGACAAAGATAAATTCTTTCATTCAGAACAATAAATAAATAATAATTAAAACAAAAAAAATGATTACAACAGAATAAATAATTTTCTATTTGAAAAGACAATTATATGAACGAAGAATATTCTCTTCAACAATTTTTCATCAGGTTCTACAATTATAAATCCGAATTAATAATCCATAAAATTGGCCAGATTTAAGGCAGAATACATCATTTGAAAAAAGTTAATATGAAATTAATGCATTTACATAGAATATAAACCTTTAGAACTCTCTAATTTTAGTATGTTCATTATGCGATTGGTGAATAAAATTTTAACTCGACAAGTATAAATTTATATTTTATACTATGACTGACAAATTCAGTTTTACAACCAAACTTATTGCAACACAACAGACCAAATGAAAATAAACTGAAAGATATAGCCCAAAGGTTGTCAGTTGTCTTGTATCAACTTAGTTGTATTAAATACTAATCGAATATGGGAAAGTTTAAGTATTGTGCACACAAATCCCATTTACTTTCAATGATACTTTTATACCTTTTCAGGATCTTACTTTTAAAGTCTAATTTATTGTTTAAGATTTTTCATCAATGGACAATAGAATTTAGTTTCACAAAAGTGAAAATGTCTGAACACTAGCCCGGTTTTGATGGTAGTAATTATATACTAACAAATAAAACTCACCATTGGAATGTTTCATTCCAAAAAGGACGTTTGCCAGCTGAAAGTGCAGTCTGAGTTTCGAATATGGCATCTCCAATGCGAATTCGACAATAAAGGTTCATAGGGAATAAACCATAATTTTTAACAAGACGAGCCTAAAACATGTGAAAATATACTAGTTAGTTTGATAGTGAGCTGAACCAGCTATTTAGAAGTGAATTTAGTTAACGAAACTGACAGCCGCATAAATTAGCATTAATGTTTTTGCCTTTTTTCATAGTGGGTACAGACGTGGCTGTAGTTTCTGGATAAGATTATCGATCAAATAGTCAGGAGTTCATTATGATTCTACCAATTTTCACTATAATTCACAATTACACGAGAAAGCTAATATCTCGCAAAAAACAGTATTCTGAAAGCAGAAAGGGCCATATAAATGAAGTTAGATTGTTCATCCTCAGAACTTCTCGCTACCACAATACAACGGAGAATGCTGAACAGGATTACAGTATTTTCAGTCTTCAGTACGTATGGAGATATCTTGTTAGTAATTGAAATGTCATTTGCAAAGCGCCAACTAAACTTCGCGTATATAGACTGATTATTTATTTTTATTTATTTATTTGAACACATAAATATTGGTACAAGGGGGCACCAAACATATATGCGCCACACAAAACAATGAGAATTTGAAGAGAAAGGAGAAAATAAAAGAGAGAGAGAACAATAATGGAGGAAACGGAAAGGTACAATCAGAAGAAATCTTTCAGTTAAGGAAGAGGCAACCACTTTTTACGAAGAAAGCAAAAGAAGGTTAAAGCAGGATCACCACTGGCTTCTATTCTGGGCCATATATGATAACGTCTCAAGCCACTGTGCTACACCGTCTCTCGGACCCCAACCAGGGAGTCGTGAAGCTAGCCCTTTGCAGCCTTCTTTCATACCACGACACCATGTCATATACTGACCACCTTTCCGCTTTTTCCAACCAGTCTCAGAGTCGGCAAATAATACATTATGTGAAATTCTCTAGGACGACATTCGTAGAACATGTCCGAGCCACTGAAGTCGGTGTTTCAAGATGGTGACACCAATGGAATTATCGTCTCTGTGCTCGAACACACGGTGCCGAACCTCTGCATTACTGACATGGTGTCGCCACTGAATGTCAGCAATCCTTCGGAGACAACGATGATCGAACACAGAGTCGTCTAACATCCTCAACTCGGAGAGGCCAGGTTTCACAAGCATAGAGCAGAACTGCTCTCACCGACGCGTTGTAGATCCGACCTTTTACAGCCAGACTAACATCACGAAGGTGCCAAAGATGGCCCAGATTGGCATAAGCCGCTCTGGCTTTCACTATACGTGCATTGATCTCATCACTCATGCCACCAACAGCACTTATGCAGCTACCTAGATACACGAACTTCTCGACTACTTCAATCTGCTCACCATCCAGAGTGAGTACATGATTAGAATCCTGCCAGTCTTGTAGAAGAACTTTGCACTTCGAGGGTGCAAAGCACATACCATACCAACGGACATTGATTGCCAACTGATTAAGTGCGGATTGCATGGCTTGGGCATTCTCGCACAGTAAGACAATATCATCCGCATATTCAAGGTCGAGAAGTCTTTCTCCAGGCAACAGATCCACACCACTATTACTTACATCCGTCAGAGCTGTTTCCAGAATGTCATCGATGGCAAAGTTGGAGAGGAATGGTGAGATTGGGCAACCCTGTCTAACCCCACTGCTCGAATGGAATAGTGGAGAAAGGTGGTTGTATGCCCTCACTCTGCCTGAGGTGTTTGTGTATAATGCTTTCAGGATGTTAATAAACTTCTCAGGCACACCCTTCTTCAATAGACAATCCCAGAGAACAGTTCTGTCCAACGAATCGAAGGCAGCCCTGATGTCAAGAAACACTACGATTGTTGGCCTTTGATAAGTATGGCGGTGTTCTAACACTTGGCGGAGGGTGAAGATATGATCAATACATCCTCGACCAGAACGAAACCCAGCCTGCTCCTCGCGAGTCAATCTTTCTCGGGTTCTGAACAACCTACGAAGTATGACGGAAGCCAATAGCTTGGACGCAATCGGAAGTAGATTTATGTTCCGTCCACCAGGCTTCTCGATCCTTACGCAAGCTTTGCTCAATTTCATTACGTAAAAGTCGTCTTTCGTGGTCAAGCTCACGGTCACCCGGAGTAGACCGACGGGCTTCAATCAGTTGTAAGGAACCAGAAGAAACCCAGTGCTTATAAGCGGGACGTTTCGCGAAGCCGCAAGCGGCTTTACTAGCTATTTTGATGGCGTCATGCAATTGCAACCAATGCTCATCTATACTTTTCGGTGGAATGGTAGCTAGCCTAGAAGCTAGCTCGGTTCGGTACTTACTAGCAACAGAAGTTGCAGCCAGCTTGTTAACATCAATCCTTTGGTGGAGAAACGAATATTTTCTATAAGCAGATAGTTCATCATAGTTTTAGTGTGTGGGCTGAGATACTGCCCGGGCGCCCAGACCGAAGCAGGTGGTTTTCTTAGGGGGCCACACCCCGAGCCATTGACCTAAAGGTCTAGTCCACAAGGCAGTGGAGCATCGTGAGGAGATGCAGTCCCATGGAAGCCGGTGACCAAAAGTTGGTTCATACGCCATTTGTTCCCGCAGGATACTGGAGCCCATGTGCACCATTATTTTGGGGTCCGGTTAAAGCGCCGGACATTCGCTTTTCGTCCTCTCATTTTTGTAAACAACACCCCCGCCACGAGAAGGCAGTGAGTAGGACTTCCCTGGCAGAGGCTGTATACGCGTGGCTGTGTGAGAGTATTTCGAGAGGGAGGGCGAACCCTCCCCGCTCTCGGCCATACCAGGGCATTTGGGGGAAGTCCGATTACAGACGTAAAAAATCAGCATACTTGTTGTATTTTGTCTAGTGATAGAGTGGTATGGACTATGTGAGTTGGTGAAGTAACAATAATTTCAAAATATGTGGTTTACTGAATTATATTAAAAACTACATAAAAGCAAAAATAGTAGAGAATTCAACGAGCAAGTAAACTTTAGTGCTACAAATATGTTCTGATCATTGTAAAGTCTGTGGTGGAGCCCATCTACTTTCGATGAGTAAAAATCGATATATGTGTTATGACGATGAACTCTACCCCTGAGACAAGGAACTTTAGGCCCCATATCATAATCACTCATTTAAAGGTTAGTTTACTCAATAAATAAAGACACAATGATATCCGAAACTGATTGATCTCCGAGTAATGACTAATACCATCTTTGTCTAGACTCCAAGATTACAAGTACACCTTATTGATGAACTCGAACAGCAAGAAACCTAGACATAGGGTTTTCTGTTGGCTAACTTCAACCACCCAACACGTAATGATATGAATGAAAGGTTTCTGTAGAACTGTATGAAGTATACTTTATAAGCATAATTATTGCAAATTATGTGAGTTATTTACATCCATGCATCCTACAGAGCACTTTTTCCAATCGCTAGATCAACTTGAGTGAATCCGAAATACGTGAATATCAAGAGATGAACTGTAGAAGTTTACAGGGCAGTAACAAAAGGAAAGGCAGATGCATTTGTACGAGGAAAATTGAAGTTAAAGCTTTTATTGATATTATTGTTTAAGCAGAATATAACAATAAATTAGAAATACGAAGTTCAGCGAAGGGATTTATTTTCAATGAATTTATTACCAAGCTGTACAATCATTTGTCAACAATAAATTAGACAGTGATTACGACTGTCTTTAATTACAAAGACCACTGTGTTTTTCTTTTTGAAGTGGATATAATACTGTCAAGATGTACTGTTAATAAGAGGGCAGATGTAACGCGATTCGTTATGTTGAATGACTAACAATACACAAAGACATTCGACAATAGCACAACTGGATGCATATGAGAAGATTGACTTTTACAAGGCCTTAGCAAAAAGGATTTTACCAAACATAATAATGTTCAAAAGGTTTGCGTTACATTAATTGAACGTTTCTCGTATGAACTGCATAAACATTATAATCCACTTATCTCGCGTAACCAACATGGAAAAGCATTTATAGACGGTGTCACTCCATCTGCACAAACCAATTTGCCAGATTTTCTTTATGGCAGACGTTTCTTCGCTGATCATTGGTACAGACCTGATAAAACACCATAATCTACTCATCGACCCAAGCAAATGGACGTTTTTGGAACTTCGTTTTTCGGTTTTGGATTATATAAAGTCAGTGTTAAGCATAAAATAGATCTACGCCTTAACCGGATGATCAACAACTACCATGGACTTAATGAAGCACGAACGAAGCTGACGTGTGTCAGCAGCTATGCCACACACCATATCACGACTACATGATCACCTGAAACGTGCATTTAAAAAGGGCAGTGTTTTTGTACTTGTGATTATCTTTGCTTTTGTGTACTTCCTGCATTAATAAGTATTCTTGATCTACTTTAACTTGAAGTACTTCAGTTGAGTTTGAAATTTCGCTAAACTTTGTCTTGCAGTACTTTCTTTCTCATTGACTATGACACTTGCGTTCATAATGTGTTTTAAACATTAATCTGATTAAAATAGTCAGCAGTACTTATAAATGTGAACAGCCAAACTGTTTATTCCCCGTGGAGGAAGGAATGCAATGCGATGAGAGTAAAAAGTGGTTTCATAAGATATGTACCCGCTTAAGTCCCACTGCATACAAAAGATGCTCGAAGCCCAACTCACATTGGCTTTGTATATTTTGCTGTGAAAACAAAACATTACTAATCCAGGAAGCTATGAGCATATTATTTTTGGCCTGCAAGAAGAAAGATGGTGGTTGCGCTAGTAACACGAGTACTGACAGTGAAAAATGTGTCAGTGTAGTACTCGCTGTCACGGGATGCGTTAAACCCCTGACTGTGATTAATGGAAAAGCAAAATCTTTGTTGGAACTGACGAGAAGTGAAGTGCCACTTGATATTGATATATGGGTAGTAATGTTTCTTCAGTAGAAATTAAAAACCCGGTTAGACCGTCACCGTTTCTGATAGTCTCGGTGTGGCTGTCCTGAGTGACGGAAAATGGACGACAGTACAGAGGAAAAATAAATGAGAGGAAAAAACCTATAAGACGCACCCACTTGGTTGGCAAGTGATCAGTGAACTCCAATTCTAAGTCATAAAATACACTACCAAAGTCTGATAGTAAGACAGAACTCCACTCTGGCGTGGCCGAGAAGAATTCAAAATAATCGAATATTATTGTAAGTAATTTGCCAGAATCAAACGATTCTGATCCCAATATTAGAAATGCGCATGATTTGGAAAAGCTCGGGAAATTTATACATAGCATCTTACTAGATAAGAATAGGTAAGAGAACCGGTGAGTGTTGATCCTTAAGGTAAACCTAGGGTCGGAGAAGCAACGTGATCTTCTGCTAAGTTGCGCCCGTAGTCATGACGAGACCAACATTCGAGTAAGACCTGATATGTCTCTATAAGATAGAATAAGAAGGATGACGGTACTAGCTGAACTAGAAACCTGTCGACAAAATGGTGAGGAAAATCTCCGCTTAG